GAGAATTTTTAACGAACAAGTAGAGTCCCGAAAGTATATTAACTACCAACTCCAAGCATATTCTTCAATATTTTCTCTCTTGTACAGAAATATAGAATATGTTAATCGGAGGTTTTTACTGCAGATGTGGATAATGTCCAAAGCAAAGTGATGAAAAGAACTTTGAAAAGATGTGCATGTGTGGCTAAAAATAGCCAACGGCACAGTGAGTGTTTGTCCTTACGGCGATGCTCTGCGCAACGACCGCACCCTGTCGGGGTTTCGTTGGAACAACGATGAGACTCCGTCATGTCGATAAAGCACTTGGGACGGCTTGACCGTAGACGGACAGATGTGTAAGCTGAAGGGTTATCATGCGTGTAACCTAATTAACTCCGTCTACATTGGTTCTGGGAAAAAGAGGTGACCAAATGAATGTTTCTCGTAGAAGCACTAAGGTTACTGTTGTTTCGAAAACCCTAATAGAAGGTTATTTCTCTATTAGATGATGGGTTGACCCAGTAATTGGTGAAGTAGGAGTCATTTAGCGTAATAAGGCGTCAATTTAGACATTTGATGAATGTATCGTTTGTATACTATGGGAATGCAGAACGGCATCCTCAAATGGTTTAGCTTCTTTGTATGACCATGCATTTTATAGAAGTCGTTTGTTGGTAATGTTAAAGGAGAGAAAACGTTGTGGAAGACCTTGAAAGCATTGTCTGACATTCTCTTTTTCTACCCAACATCCAACGCCTTTTGTAACTGTACACTGGGTTTTCACACCAGCTCATGAAATTCAGGATTGTCAGCTTATTTAAGCTAGGGAAGATTCCCTTCATGGAGGGCTTTCAATCTCTGTCGTCAGTAACTTAGCATCCTTCACTACTTGCATACATTTATTTCCATAAATTTATTATTAAGTGTAAACCGTTGTATTCTCTCTCGGCACTCTTTTAATTTCACTGGTCACGGCTGATATCACAGGTGATTTTCCATGAATCTTATTCAGTTCAGTAGCAAGTCCTGGTTCAGCATTCCACCCTTTCTTTTTTTGACGTTGGGATTTATCGTCCTCTCACTTAGTCTTTGACTGGCACAACAAAATTTCAGTGAGAGATTCGTCTCAGAGATTCTCCAAATCATTAGAAAGGGTTTTTTCAACCAGCGATAAGGGACTTTTAAAGAAATTGGGTTTCTTCAGTTTTCTGAGGTTGAGAACTAGGACTATGCTTCGAACAACGACGAAACTAGTGCCGTAATTGCAGTAAAGCATGTCGGCCGTACAGATCTAATAAATAGGTTTAAAATGCGTTTTATTATCACTTATACTTTTTACAGCAAGACGAAGATGGCTAAACGTTGAAGTTCTAAAGCAAAAGTGCTTTCCGAACAATGTAATGTGGAACCACCTAATGTTTTTCACATTTTGAACAGTAACCGGTTTAGCCCTTATAATTTATGTTTCCCATCACAACTACTTTTTAGTTCGTTGTGAAAATCACTCTTGCAATGGGAGGTAGTTGCTCACATCGATCAGTAGAATAATCGGACACCCATAATAATAGTGACAATCCATCAAACTGATGGCGAAGACGGTACTGACATTTTCACTTAAATAGGATTAGTACTTGTAAGTACTGCGCGCAAACATCTGCGATCGCAATTCCATTTCCGTTCCGTCTCAGAGAACTTGTTGATTTGCTGGAATTGAACGTGTTTACAAACATGTTTACGATGAATCATTTGGATGCCAGGGCAAAGATTTCTACCTTCGGAGAATTGAGAAATCTATACCGGGGCGCTCCCATGTTATGAGGAGAAGAGGTTACAGTCCGTTGTAGATATATGGGAGAGTGTCGGATGTTCATCACCATGGGACTATCTTTCTTCGACGATGGTGACCATGATTTTCTGTAGTTTATCTCATCTCTCCACGGATCTCCCTCAAATGAGGGATCTCGAGCCGGTTAGTCGCGAGGCTACTTGGCAGGTCCCCAGGTGGCGGATAGCGGGTTAATCGCGGACCCAAAGCGACCTTTACTTCTCTGAGATGCAGGTGGATCCAGGGGATGCACCCCCTGTTTCTTCCGCGCCGATTTGGCACATACTTTCTGCATTTGCTAGGCGTATTCATGCGTGCGTGTGTGGGCGCGTTCTTGCTTATGCGGATTGTATTCTACGAGTCAATTCGGCCAAAACCCTACAATCAAGTGACTGGAAAGTACATGGGAGGCGATTAGGAGTCGTTTCTAACAAATAAGCTCCATCCATGTCCACTCTGGGAGAGCCTGGCAAGCTACCCGTGTGTATACCCGGCCCTCATGTTCAGAGCCCAGCGAGCTATACGTGGGTACCAAGAATGCTAAACACAGTAAAAAAAAACGGACCTCATTCCTCTGACCCCGACCCCGAATGAGCCCCCAATTTCACATCCTTGGGTAGGACGAGTACGCAGAGGCTGCTAAATCTCAGGACCAATGGAAGCTTCCTGGATCACGAAGAATTAAGGTGACGATCTGTATCTACAATGCACGTACACTTACATCCGAGTCCTCGATAGAAGACTTGCTCATGCAAGCAGGAAGGATAAAGTAAGTTGTCGTCGGCCTGGCCGAGACGAGAAGACGCCAGCCTTTCAACGCCGTCTGTGACACCGGAGAAGAACTGTTCCCCGGCATATGTGACAGTAGAGGAGTCGGCGGCATTGGCGTTCTCGTCAACACGAGTTTGTCCATGTACATTGATTCATTCGAACAGCTTACAACCCGAATCGGACGTTTGCGATTGAAGAGATGTAGACCAATACCGGCTTTGACAATCTTCATCGTGTACGCCCCAACATCAAACTGTGATGAAGAAGAAGTCGAAGCGTTCTATATGGACTTGGAGAAGTTCGAAAGAGAAGACCACACATTCTCCAAGGCCATCATTGGAGATTTGAACGCCAAGATTGGACCAAGAAGAACATTTGAAGAACGTCACATTGGGGCCCATGGATTAGAATGGAACGAACAGGGTGAGCGCCTGTCTGAGTTTATCACGGCGGCCGAGACAATCCATGGTAACTACTAATTCCAGAAACCCCACCCTCACCGCTGAACGTGCGAGTCTCCCAATGGAGAGTACCATAACGAAATAGACCACATCATAGTAAATAGGTTTTGCCTAATCGACGTCGCTGTTGAAATTCTACATAGGATCAGACCATCGTCTTCTTCGTGCAAGATTCTATTTCTCGCGGAAAGGAGAAAAAGCCGCTAAATTCCAAAACCGAAGTCCCAGAACCACCGCAAACTGGGACTTATTCAATTCATTAGTCAGCTGTTGGGAAGATGCCGTTGTCGATAACATCGACGAAGAATACGATCGGCTCATTCAACATCTTCCCGTTAGCGCTATGAAAGCTCGGAGTTCGAAAGTCACCAAGAGACGTCTGTCACCAGAAACACTCGAGCTGATAGGCCAGCGTGGAATCGCATGAGCTGCAGGCAACCACGAACTAACGTCGGAACTTGCAAAACGGTGCAGACACGCCATAAAAGAAGATGTTAAAGAAAGAAGAGCAGCAGTAATGGTCGAAGCTGCAGAGGCTGGGAAAAGCATTCGCAAAGCTCACCGAGGCACCGCCAATTACAGGACCAAAATGATTGCACTCCGACGCCCAGACGGAACAGTTACAGCGTACAGAAAGTCAATGGGGAAAATTATTGACGAATTCCACTTAGATCTCTTCAATAGCCACGTCATCTTTTCTTCATATAAAATAAAGGGGGATGGATATACTGTACCGCCGGTTCTCCGCTCCGAAATCCGATATGCCATTTCGTCGGTGAAAAATCGAACAGGACCAGGTCCGAACAGGACACCTGATGAACCTTCCGCCAGTCCTCGTAAACACACTGGTAAGGTTCTTCACACGTTACTTATCTGAATGCAAGATCCCTACTCAGTGGAAGACCAGCAAGACCGTGTTATTGTTCAGGAAGGGTGACCTGCACGATATCGGCAACCATCGCCCAGTCTGTTTACTGTCTGTCGTCTAGAAACTTTTCACTCGAGTCATCCTAAAAAGGATTGACAGAACACTCGACTGCAGAGAGACTACCGGCCCGATGGTCAGAGTTTTTCACAAAGAGCCTTAAAGAAAGATATGATGGTCAGCGAGTCCCTATATCGAGCAGAACCCACTGGGCAACTCTTGCATGCGACAAGGAAAAATGGAAGATGTACTGACGCCCCCCCCCCCTTTCCGCAATTATAATTCAAAGAAACGAGAACAAGGCTAAGCTGATTTTGTTTTCCATGGTGTCACCAGTGATAGAAGCGTTGATGAGGAAAGCGCTCTCCTAGTATAATTAATTTATGTAATATATTATAAATGAGGCGCCCCAACTATTAACGGCCTCATCGTGGCTGGGAGGTGTTTCTGGGTGTCGGGTTCCGATGTACAAGCGTGGGGGTTCATCGTCCTGGCAGGGTCTCCCAAGCTGAGAAGGAACCCGGCGTTTCCATCAGGAAGCCTTGTTAAGAGTAAAACATTACCAGGATCCACCACCGTCCTAGTATCAAACTTGTCGAATGGTGGCAAATTTCTCTCTGATCCACAAGAACTGCGACTGCCTGTGGTGGTGACGACTTGGGGCAGACTTTGATCAGGCTGATCTCGGGATTCTAGGGAACCGCAATGGCTAAACCAGCAAATCTCCCAAAAAGTGGAGGTTATGCTGGGTGTGCCATCCAAGTATCCAAGTAAGTATTATAAATGAAGATGTGTTGAAAAAATGCCTATGTACAACAAAGACACGGTTTTAAGTAATGCATCGAAACTTTTCCACTGTTGATCAAGCTGCTAGTGTTTTGAGAATTTTGACTTTCTTTCAACCATCACTTTCACCTAATCCTATTTGAGTTATTTTTATTAACTAATAGAAGTAACTACGCATCTTTCTTCAGTAGATGTCCATTGTAGTTGACAGTCACGGGAGAGACCAAGCAACATCTGTAGAAATGATTCCAGATTCGACATCAGCAACACGGACCATGTAATGCCGGTGAACATCGGCGACCGCGTGTCACTGCTGTGTCCGAGACCCGGAGCCGGCAACTACGAGTACTCGAACATCTATGCGGTACGAAAAGCCGACAGTCGTTAATTTCATGACCTTCATAAATACAGTTGAAAACGAAAATGGTATAAATATGATGCTTATCAATGTTTTTCATGGTCTTTAGCAATTCAATTCGTTACCAAATTCACTAGAAAAGTACCACTGAGTATTCTTATTCTTATTGTTTGTATGGGCGCGTGTGGCGTAGTGGTCAGAGGAGCCCTGCAACACACTCGTGGAATCGATTTCTGCGCCCATGTTCCACCAAGCGTTCCATCCCTCCGGGATTGCAAATTGGTACCAGACTTGTCTGGGAGGATAGCAGCACTGGCTCGATACATCGGTAGGCCATCGTGAGTCATTGTAAAGGCCAGATGTGCATTTAGTCACCTCCAAATTATGCTTAGTGAAGTCGAATGAATGGCGCATCCCTCAGGGATTGATCAACGCCGAGAGCTTCTTATCCTTTTTATATAGATCTTGCTTAATTTATTAAAAGACTTGCTATTTGTTTAGTCAAGTACATTTTACTGTTAGGTTTGATCACATAAAATTTTATTTAAAGTTAGTTGCCTTCTTTAGCCTGATATTTTACGCCACAAATATCTTTCTTCTTAACTGGCTTTCTATTTTACTTGCTTCATCTTGTGCCTCTTTTTATTAGAGACAATTTGTTGTAAGGCAATACGCTTCCATTCACCTTCACCTCAGTTTTTTAAAATTCTCCAATATTACTCTCTTGATTCAAAAGTGTTCTTTCACTAGCGGATTTAGTCTAGGACCTTTTTGGTTCTTATCGATCTGGGTGGTCAGAGGTCTGCTTGGGTGCTTTTCCGTGTTTTTCATGATTTTTTATGAATCGTTGTGTTGTTGTATTTTGTGGGCGTTCCTCAAGCTTTCCGCAAAATCACTGACTCACCTCTCAAAGTTATGCAATCGACCACCGACTCTTACGCAATCGTGTTTGCCCAACTGTACTCGTTACCAAACAGCAATCAGAATTGGACGACGGAGATTTAGTCAGAAATCCGATTCATGACCGTCTGTCCACAGTATCCGCCATGTGGAGCTGGAGGTTCTAGCGCTATTGAGGGTGAAGTGCTCGTTAGTCCAGTATACTAAAGGGGGAGCATTAACAGTGGATTTTGTATACTTAGTAGCAGAAAGGACTTTGTCACATTTATTTCGACAAGCCGAAAGACTGTTGGCAACAAAATTTTACTCATTTCACCGTTTCATCGGAAGATTTTTATTGAACACTTCAATTCTATAGTGTAAAACTTAGATCTTTGGAAGGGGACATATTTTCAATGGTTTCCGTCCTTGGGAAAAGAAATTCCTATCTGGCGGCCAGCCAAATAGTGGGATTAGGTGGATGTGCTGCTAAACTACTAGTTTATGCTAGACGCATAACACTGTATATATCTTAGACCCATGACATATATCCCATCTATCGAAATCTAATTCAGTAGATAAATTACGTCCGCAGTTCTTCATCGGTTGATAATATGTTTAACTATCGACCAAAATATGGAACTATTCTTGATTACTTGCAAGCCCTATTCAATCACTTACTACTCAAACCTACTATCACGGCAGGCATTGATGAATTACACATTTTTGCCACTTGTAACGTTACGTCCTCACGTATTCATCACTTCTTTTCCTATTTTGTCTCTTTTTCCATGAGGAAGCTTGATATTTTTTGATAATCTAACCAGTTTTGTGTTAGGGATACCAATGGAAGTTATTCTCCTTCTCACATCCTCAACCATGAGGAAACGTGCGTCTTCTCAAGGAGATTCTCCAGAAAACGTCACTCGTATGTTTTTCATTCCGACGCTGACAATTCGGTACCTTAGTGAACGAAAGTGGATAGGCACTTCCGATGAAAAGTCAGATCGAAAAAACTCGACGACGTTGTACTTCGAATCGGACACTCCGAGTGGTTAGCAGAATATGCGAAGCAATTATATCATTAACCTTATTTGTATTGTCATTGAATTAAGTTGTAGACAAATACGATCTAACAATGAGTATAATTCATGAATGTGACCTCGTCATGGACGATGTGACAGACAGCTCTGTACGCAGCTCCGACTAGGGTTTGCACGACGAGTAGAGGTTTCAGAGTTGATGTCATCATAATTGCTTCCACAGTAGGGACGACGTTGACGCTGACAGTTTCTGTATGTTTGCCGAAATAAAAACTCAGCCATTTGTCACAATTAAAGCAATTGAAAAAGTAAGTCGGGGACGTCGTAATTACACTAGCGGAAGGAGCGGAGTGTTCGGAGGACATCATTTCCTAGAGGGATTTAAGCATCGTGAACCTCCATACGGTTGTATTTTGCCAACAGAAAATTCTCAGAGATCTATCGATGTAGGGAAAAGAAAAGAGGCAACGAGCTTTGGCCGGTGGATAAACTGTAGATTGTAACTGAATACTGGAATCCACGCCTTCCCTTTCTACAGGCATCCTACCGAAATAACCGAAACTGTATTTCATTTGAAGCAAGTTCGAAATGTTTAAAGGGAGAAACGAGTGCAACGCAGTAGTTATTGCTACCCTGTAGTACACAATTAGTTAGTGGTTTAATCACCTCCGACGCTTCATCCATTATCACAACCATTTTTTCGATCGCGTGCGCTCGTTTTCAGTGCATAATTTGAACTCTCTGGAGATTTTTTCACAACTATATGTTGTTTCTTTTCTTTCACTGGTAGAAGTGGCATGCAAAACTGGACCTTTGGAGAACTCGCATTAAGAATACCAAGAGGCTGGCACCTCACTTTAATGATCGACTGGAACCCGTTTGTATTGGCGCGATATTTATCCCTACCTAGTCCTTCCGCACATATTTGTACAAATGTCAACCCAATCGACCACTTGTGACAACAATAACCGTCGAGGGTCAGCATTTTTTCCTCTCTGGGGATCCAATGAAATTCACTCGAAATGAAAACTACCCATTTTTGACTCGTCTATTCACAAGGGGTTTGATGAACCACACCTGGTATAACAAAAAAAAAGAGGAAACCTTCATTCTCTGCTCACAGTTTCGTTTAATTTGCTCATCTCGAATGGGTGTAGCTTTTCTATCACATTATTCGCTCATTAGAACTCTCGCGACGAATGACCCATGGAAGTCACTTAGAAGTTGCCGGAGTTGCTGATATGACCTGAAGCGGTTTCACTTTATTTCTGGTGGTTTATTTTATCACATAGAGCTGTTTTTCTATGCTTCATATAGTCAGTCGACAGGTTGTAGAGCGCAGATTTTGGAATGGGCGTTAGTCGAGAAAAGCTCTATTCTGCAGCTGGAATGATGCTTCCTTCTCCGAAAAAAAATTTCTGTGGTCAGAAATTCGAGTAGTATTTAACCACTATTTCAATTCTAATTGCAATAACAGTGATGCTCAGATATTTGCAAAACTCCGGACGCAGGTGTCTGCGGTGGGGAGCGAACGCGCTTTTACCCTTTCATGGGCTGAAGCGTTCACCACCACACCACACGGGTCCTTAGTTTCGCTTGTCTCTCAGCTAACTCTGTCGATCAGTGCCATCAGCAGTCTAATTGGAATAGTGAATTATAGTTATTTTATAGAGTGTGCTGATATAAAAATACTGGAATAGGGGCCTATAAGTTGTAACGCACTTCCGAATGCTTACAGCAATGTGTTTGTATGATGGACCACAGTAGCACACAACAAATAGCACTATGCATATCATGCATAGCGAAAGGACGTCTTTTCTATAATCCTATAATGTTCACTACCCATCAAGTTCTCTAGTTACGGAACAATTATTATTTATTTCCAAAAAACCAGCAAGTCCATGTGGACTGAAAATCAGACGTCGTCTACTACCGAAGATAAGCAAAATTAGGTGCAGCCGCGAGAGTGTGAATGTGAAGTGGGGCGCGTGTAGAGCAGTGATAAGAGCCCTGGAACACATACGATGTGGTGGGGTTCGATCGTGCGCCAGAGCTCACTAAGCTTTCCATCCATCTGGAGTAGGCGAATTGGTACCAAACTTGGTTAGGAGGGTAGCACCTGACCTGACACATCGGTAGGCCATGCAAGTCATTTTATAGGCTGGATATGCATTCAATCACGTTTACGATGCTGTGGATAGAGCCAAATATCTAGCTTAGCCTTTAGAGATTTATCAGCGCCAGGAGTATTGTCCTTTCATTCTTTTTAGTGTGAACCGTTTGTTGCAAAAACGAACTGATGAACGGCAGAAATACAGTTCTGAACGCATAGCGCCTAATTCGTTTCCCATTCGTCGGCACACTTCAAAGAAACGCTTTTCAAGTGAGTTGGCTGCGTGATCTGTCAAAGACAGACGATCGGGGTCAGTTTCAGGTCGCTTGAAAGGCGGAATATCGCCTGAAAAGGTGTCAGTGAACACTGGGAAGCGATGCGAATAGCGAACGGTGTGCCAAAAAAAATATGAGTTCGAAAGTGAGACGTTAACATGGAGAATTCGGTGGTTTTGAGCGGCTTAGGTTGGATCTATATTGCTTTGCAGATGATCTCGTTGCTTGAAGGACTACTGTGATATCCAAGCCGAAGATCGCCACCGTATAGAGAGTAATTTGGTTTCATGAAAATATAATAAGCTCAAATCCTATGATTATTTGAGAGCTTCTCGGAGATGGGCGAGCAAGTTCACATTCATTGATGTCCGATGGCATCAGCATACATAGAGATACATACATATTCCTTTAATTGATTAAGAGGCTATCTTAATTTCCCTTCCTAAGTGGCACTTTTATTCACGATGTTGACTTTTTTTTACTGCCTTTTACAAGTTTTCACGGCAGGGTTCTATTTGTGAAACAACCACAATGATTCTGGGATTTTCCCAAAACTCCGGACGGCAGGTGTCTGCGGTGGGCAACGAACGCGCTATTGCCGTTTTCGGGTTAAAGCGTTCACCACCACACCATGCGGGTACTTCGTTTCGCCTATCTCTCAGCTAGTTCTAACACATTTATGTTTCAATTTACGCTTACTGTTTAAAAATGGATTCATATTCTATTTTGTATGTGAATTGAATCATTGGAAGAATATAAAAAGTATTTTGCGAAATATGCGAAAAAACTGTCTACGTATTTCCGCTTTCTCAACGAGACTTCCCTAGCGTGAGACCATTCCTAATCCGATCTCAAGAGTTCTTAAACATCTGTTGTTGATAACGTAGAAAAGTGCTTCGTTTAAGATATTGCGGGTATGAGACTGATTTTCGACAATCTGTATGTATGTTTTGCAGTTATTGTAACCATTGCTCTTAGGGTGATGTTTATCTCTTCTACAGGGCGAGAGAGCGCCTTTCAAGGCAAAGATTACCTTTCCTGGAGAGCTCGGTACGAGCAGCTGTGTTTGACGTTGCAGTGAACAACAAGTGTCGTGAGTCGTCGGATGTTTTTGTGAGGACTCGGTGCTGTTCAAGAGGCCTCTCATCCGCGCTCAGCTACTAGACACTGTTGCTAGACAAACACAGCACGAGAACCATGTATGGTCAACGGTGGTTGTAGCTAAATCCCCAATGTAAACCCTGACCCGATCCAACATATAATAACGCGATTCATTATGTTGCACAGGATCAAAGTGTTGCAACATTTAGCGAAACGTCACGTAAGCACGTAAGTAAATACAATTGTTGTGTAGAATGCCGTTCAGTAACATCGACAGCGATAGAGGGCTTAGAGTTGTCAGTGGATAGAGAAAAGATTAGAATTAAACGGAAATTGAGCGAAATATACAAGGGTCGAGATCTTTCCAGTCTCAAATATTAATCAGTGGATTGGGAATGTCTGTGTCGAGTAATAGCAAAAACCTCTCCAAATATAGTATATTGTCTAATCTCTTTCATATAACGTAACGGATGACATTCCTACGTGCCCACCAACCAGTAGATTGTAAATTTCCCGTGCAGGAAGGTTCAGATGGCAGTTGGCTGAGTTTATTCTGGTGCTGTGTTGATCGTGCCGTATTTAGCATTGCTTTCTTCCCAGGATATGCAAATGATGATCGTGCTTTATTCAAGGATGTTCTTTCTTTTGCAGGATCGGATTGTTGTTTTGGCATTTCTCGTGGCCAGCGATACGGCACTAATGATCGCGCCGTGTTATGTTACATAACCAGATCGGAGAGTAATACGATTGCATGACGATTGTCGTTGACCTCACAACGCACCATCAAGAGATGGTCTCGATTAGCTGCTCAGATCCCTCACACACACTTCTACTTATCGCTGCACATCCACGAAGGGATTCACGATTTGAAGGAAGTGAATGAAATCCACCAACAGACGCTCTTTCATTCTCGGTTTCTGTTCTGTAATTTTTTAAGACCAAAATTTTAAAAAAGCTACAGCGAATTTGTTTTGTACGAAAAGAATGAATTCGTCCTGTGCTGACAGTTTCGGTTGTTTTGCAGTTTGTCTGTGAGGTATCCCACTACTGAGTAGCTTTTTTGCCCAACCATTGGAATTCAACCAGCATTTTATTTTGAATAACACCACCAACAATTTATTTCCGCGCAAGTTTTTTTTCCATTTACCACGTTTCCGGTGTGATGATGAACGAAATGTGCGTGGTGTACAAAGATGTCGGAAAAATGGCCATGGCCTCTCGGTTGACCGAACACTGGCCTCGCTTCGGATTCAATTAGACGCTAACGAACCGGCAAAGCAGCCATGACCACGCGCACAGATTCGAAGAGGAATCTTGAACACGTCGCCAAAGTGACGGCAGGAAGTACACGAGGGAGTGGAGCCCGTTACTAGACTTGCTAAGTCAAAGTTGAACCCCCAAGAAAAGAATGAGAACAGTCACTTTCGGCTATAATTATATTGGTTAATTGTTATCGATTAGGTTAGAAGTGAGGAGTCATTACTTGGAGAACCTCCCATTATCTGAGCCAAAGTCTACGTTTTATCACAAATGCGTCGTCTACTTTGTTCTTTGTATATTCGTGCTTTTCCTATTAGAATTATGGTTTAATGTAGAAAGTTTAAAGGTTGAAAAATCTGCCAGTGAAACCAGCGCAACCTGCTGAGTTGTTCTAATACTGCTTAGATTATATTAAATATTTGCAAACAAATCAGTTTAGAGGTTGAAAAACTAGATCATTTCGAATCACATTTGATGAACAGAAAGGTTCGTTCCCGTTGTTTCAAATGAAGTTTCACTGAGAAGCACTCGAGTACTGCATTACCATTACTGTTTCAGTATTCGTCTAAAGTAGTGAGTAGTTTTCAGTTAGTAGATTCCCATCTACAGACACGGATACTAAACGGCGCGTGTGGCGCAGTGCTCGGAGGCGCTCTGCAACACACACGTGGAATCGAACCCCGCGCCCATGGTCCACCAAGCCTTCCATCCCTCCGGTCTCAGCAAATTGGTACCAGACTTGTCTAGGAGGATAGCAGCACTGGCTCGATATATCGGTAGACCACTGCGATTCATCGTAAAGGCCAGATATGCATTCAATCATCTCCAAAGATGCTTAGTGAAGTCGAATGCATGATGCATTTCTTAGAGATTGATCAACGCCGAGAGCTTTTAGGTTTTACATTTTCATTAGTGTCGTTATTTATTGAAACGACCTAAAAATTCGTAAACACACATTTGAAAGAGAGGTTTTCAAAAACTGGTTGGTAATATTGACAACTGTTGCATTTCCAGGTCTCAGAAGAAGAATACACACATTGCTTCCTACAAAGGCCTCACTTAGTCGGATCTTGCAACAACAGTACACAAGAGGTATGGACAAGCAAAAAGGCACATCAAGTAAAGTACAAAAGTACATGAAGAGAATAAAATGAATATCGTCGGGGCGAGTAAGTAGATTGGAACTGTGTCGGAACTCCGTTCTCTCTAACAGGTATTTGGATTCATTGAAGTAGCTAATCGAACACCCAGACTAAAGAAAGAATCTCTTCTTAACTCTCTGTTTGTCTTCAAATTTGTTTTCATTGGTGTAAATTAATTCTGCGGACATCCAGTGGCGATGGGAAATGTGCTATATTTCTCTACCTTGTTTATGCAACTCATTATTTAATATAATGTAAAGTGTAGAAAACGTGTCGTATTGTAGCATAGCACATTTGTTAGCTCTTGAGCTATAAATCTTCAATTCTGGGGTTAAAAATGAGCTTAGCCTCCTTAGCTTCTTTGTGGACTTCTTCTGTTTAGGTGAGCATCACCATTGTATTTCGGCAGTTTACGCCAACTCCCGGCGGAATGGAATTCGAGCCCGGCCGAACATATTACTTCATAAGTAAGGACCTAATCCTTTCGTACATGTTCTCAAAAGTAGTTATTCGTAACCAAATATTTTTTCTACTTTTCATTGGAACTATACGGCTATCTGCTTCGCAATATCAGCCCACTGTCTAGGTCTTAATTTTGCAGCGGTACCACCCATCTGCAGATTAGAAGCAGTATTCAAACACCAGACTTCAAACACCTTAGTAATACGATCGTTTGCGTTTCTGAACCTTTTAGAGAACTTCGTTGATTGAAAAAATCATAAATAAACAAAATCTTATGCATGTCGTGTTTCGAATAGAAGCATTTATATCGCTCGATGCTTAGGCCAAGTATATCATTTATCCCGTTTCTGATTCGCCTAGAACTCCTTCCTGAGCAAGTTCCAATATTTAAAGGAAAATCCCAAAGGTCTGCAAACCTTCAAATGTCGTAGTCACTAAGGGTTTCTTGCAAGAAACTGGTATAATTGAAAATGGGAAGAAGTAGACAACTAAAATTACAACTTAAGTATATGCGAACTTTTCTATTACTATTTCCTCTATCCATCCTTAGCAAAAACCGTAATTCAAGTACAAATACCATCGCTGAGCGTTTCATTCTGTTTCCGTATTCATTCCTAGCATCGAAGAACAAAGCTCCAAACCTCTTTTTTTTCGTTCGTTTAACGTTTTTCGAACGATGTCTTATTATGGGTTTTCTACTGGATTTGCTCTTCAAATTGTGGGAATTGATGCGTAAATTGCTTCAGCGACGTCGGATGGCACACTGTCGGGCATCGATCGCCGAAAGGACGGCTTGTGCTCGGATCGACAGATGAAAGTGAAGTTCGAGGTAGACGGGCAATTTTCAAAGTTAATCTCTTTTCTAACACTAGCATATTCGCTACAGCTATGGGTTCGCGGTAACTGCAGATGATTTTCCGATAAGCTGAACATTTATGAAGGGCAGAGCTTGACATAGTTATAGAAAAGACTTGACTTATCAGATTAACGCCAGATTTAGTCTCTCCAGGACGCTATTTTCATACAAACCGCTCAGAAAACTTCTGATTTCTAAAAAATTCAAAAAAAATCATGCTTTTGAAATTTTGACGCCAAATAAACGTGATGCGAAAATTGACAGTGACACATCCGTGGAAACCGTCATGTCGTTCTGAACTAATTCCCGCCGTTGAACTGTTTCTCTTCATGAAACAGAAACCTCAAAGAGAAAAAAGAAAACAGGTAATCTGTGATATTGTGAAAGTCAGAACTTTAGCATTGTAGAATAAGAAAAGCTTTACTTTGTTGGCAAAAATCTGCAGATTCTAATAGTTTTTCTTTAGCATTTTGGAGATTCTAGAGCTTCAGATAACAAGTTCACCACGAGATAAGATTCATTTGCATAGAGCTAGAACATCCAATACTCTGGACCGCATGTGCATTGAGTCCAATGTATATGACTGAATGTTATAGAAGCATTAAGGTGCAGCATCGGCATAGGCTATGGATATCAACCTCTTTATCGTATTTCATGTGGATCTATTCATTTCATATTTTTATATTTCATAACAATTTAAGACGTTTCCAATGTACTTTAGGGCAGATTTCCCAAACATACTGTTTAACCGGTTCTCTTTCAGGTACAACTTCCCAGGCACGAGCTACAAAACGCGAATCCAAAATTCGCCGCCAGAACATCTCAGTGAGTTTCCCTTCATCTCCGAATTCTGCACTAAGGCGATCAACGAGTGAACCATTTTCAGCAACAGGGACATCCACGCAGAATCCTCCACTCCTGTAATGTACATTATACATGTCGACGGTGAAGATTCCGATGAACTAGACGGTTTGTTTCACGAGAGTCTAACAAAACAAAACCCAGACCATAGATTTCATGCGATACTTCAACGAAGATTGCAATGCTTCAAAAGAGTCATGAATTGGTCATAGATGCCAATCCATTTCTACACTTCTTGACTGGTGTATGATAACACAGAATTGTTGAAGTCTTATCCATAAAGAAACTTAAATGCGATATAAGAACTATACGGTCATTTTTAGATGATAACGCCACGACTGCCTCATCGTTACGGCCTCTACTGTTGTCACTATGCCTGCTCTACCTCTTCTAAGCGATTTCAAACGCATTGTTTTCATCCTACACATCCTTTAAATACCTCTAGGAGGCATCATCCCAGTGACTCAAGCCCTGAGTACGACTGTACTACGAAGCAGTCAAATATCAGTCTAGCCAATTTACGGGTAACCTGTTTCGATGTAGCCAATAGATTGATTTATATGCTTTGTGCAAAACCATATTCACTTTATCAGCTGAACTGTGATTGAACAAATGTACAAAATAAAAGTGAAAATTAGGAACAATCATGAACTTTCCACAGAAATCACGTCCAATGAATGGCATATTAACACTGAAATCGCTAAATATCTAACAAATAGCGGCTCTTTACGAACAACAAAACGGCAAACGAACCTAGTAAGTCAAACAGCCTGAACGAAATAGAGATGGTATGTCAAAGTAACAATAATGAGCTGATTAGGTTATTAGAAGCGTTTCAAAAATGACAACTGAAAGACCTACGTCAATCCAGTACTCAGTACGGCACTCAAGTACGGCACGTCATAAAAGTTAAAAGGGTCAGCGTACAAGTCAAAGTGGTTGCCGAACAACTCAATAGACACAGAAACCAACCTTCCTTACCAAAAAATTCCAGTAACGACTAACGTGACCACTGGGAAAAAATGGAAAGCCTAGCATATGAAGAAAAAAATTGCAAAATTTATGCTGTAATTGGTTGGTCTCATTTTACATTCAAGTGGAGAGTATTCAGACTTAGCCTTTTTCAACAGTTCTAATTCAACTAAGGACAACTATTCGAAGTATCAGCGAGCACTCTCTCAAAAAACAGTGCTCATTCGAACCGCTTCTAACGTACTTGTTGATCGACTAAGTGGTCTTTTCTTCTTCTTCTGCTGAAGCACATAATGGAGAAGGTAAGAGAAGGTGTGTAAATTATAAACTTGCACGTATTGTGAAAAAGCAGACAGGTTTCGAATATGCTAGGTACTTGTTCCTTCTGGGAACCAGCTGTAGCTGAACGCCGTAATAAAGGTACATGTACATTCATCGGACGAACTTCCAACTAAAATACAATATAATTCCAGGCAAAATATCAAATCATAATAGAACTTAGGAATTTGTTTTGAACATAACTAGAGAAAGCTGAACTGAAAACTTGTGACAAGAAGTAAACTGCGCAAGCAACCACTGAACGCCTATGTTTACATCGCTTTGTATTTGGGTAGCCTCTAGCTAGAACTTATTTTCCCTCATTCTAGAGTATTATCAAAATGCTAACGTGGTGTTCGCATTGACGATCTTCACAGTAGTACGCCTTCCAACGGTTAACCGTCCTATCGTTTCGAGAGGGATTCCTGGATGTACATCTGGGGATTCATGAATTCCAAAGAACCACAATGGATATGCCAGAAAATCCGAAAAAGTAAAGGTTATGCTGGGATCCGCACAATCAGTGAAAACAGGCCATCCAAGTAAGTAAGTAATATCATTATGCATAGATTTTCAGAGTGCACAAACTATATCATTGACGATTACCATTAATACAAAACAGCACGAACGCTGACATACAATACTTTTGTGAAAAAAGGCCATCACTATAACATTGTGGCTATAGGTCGCATCAAACCTAATCAGACGCAACAGCCGATTGAAGCCTAAACGTGCACACTGCTTAGTTTAACCCTCAAACTTCATTACGAACAGAAACCTACAATCAGCCGCACACCGGATTGACACAAATTACGAGTCCCACTTCCAAATCCGTAGTTTGTCGAAGATGAAAAAGCTGAAGCAAGAAGAATTACATTACCACTTGAATTTGAAAAACAACGCTCAGAAGTACCTTCTAAGAAATCCACAAGGAAAGCAACCTTTAGGTTTATACCAAAAGGTAATATCGTCGCTCACGGAGGACATTTATTGCTGTGGGATAATATGGCATTCGTTAAGTACGGCTTATTTGTTCGATCTCGATGTATGCGGCTACCCATTCTCAATCAATATGAGTAACCGGCAATAGGAAAACCGTTTTCATTGAAAATTGATTCACTGAAAAAGAAAACAGCACCTATTGATTACTTTCAAATTCTTAAAACCGACTTTCTGTTACCCTCGGCATTGATTGATAATTCGATGTTTTTCTTCAATAAGCAGATACGAGATTGATATTATAGAATTTATTAGGATAGAGTAGCTGACGTTTCGGCGGTTTCGCCTTCTTCAGAGCCTGGAAGGTCAAACTTTGTTGCGATCTACTCCGCCAAACACTTCCATAACCCTAGCAGATAACACTTAATAAATAAATTTGTATTCGCATAAGAAACAGCTTCATTTAAACACCTATCGTTTATTTGTTGTAAGTATTTAAGTTAGTTGATGGATAATATTAATATTACTAATAATATATTATATTAATAATGATAATATTAATTAATATTAATAGGAAATATTACGCGCAAAGCAGAGGGTTGACAATGGGACAGCGACTGGCACCAATCCTTGCCTTTACCTTTATGTCTAAAGTGGAAGCACCAGTAATTGATCTCAGGCCATTACTCTACTGTAGGTATACAGATGATTGTTTTGTCATCTGGTCCACACAAGAGGAGATGGACAAACGCCTTGAGTTATTGAACGAACAGCCAGAGTACATAAAATTCACCCGTGAGAAACCGAAAGAAAACTGGCTTCCATTTCTAAACGTTCAAATCAACCCATCCAAAAGCGGCTACAACACAAGACGATATCGAAAGCCAAGCAGTAAGAATAAAGTGGTTCATTATCTCTCCTCTCATCCCTCACGCACTAAAAGGGCGATTATAAGAAATATGTTTCGAACCGCTGCCAGGGTGTGCACAGGTAGAGATCAGAGGGAAGAATCCTCCAAACTGGCCAGGTAGTTCGCAACCGCCTATATAACCGTCTATGTTTAACGAAAAACTGCATAATTTGCCCTAACAGTAGAGACGGTGATTGTATGAGTTCGGGTACGGTCTATCTGGTCTCTTGTAAAGCGTACGGGGACGAATACGTTGGCGAAACGGGTAGGACCGCTCTGCGTCCTCATAAAAGAACATCTAGTCGGTGAATCTAAATTGAAACCAAACACTCCACTAGGCGCGCATTGGATGCAGGAACACAGCTGAGAAGACTTTGAAGTAGGAGTCACTATCCTCACGAACGAATCGAAAACATCAACGCGGAAAACTCTTGAAGCGTTTTGGATCAATTCCAAAAATTCAAAAATGAACCGCAAGGAGGAGTGTCTTGTCATCACGCGTGACCTGGCGCCATACCTCAGGCTAATCCAATGACCTGACACAGGCACGGTCCTCGCCCATGTGTTACTCTGTGCGGCTGCTATCCACCAACGAACTTAAATACTTACAACAAATAAACGGTAGGTGTTTAAATAAAGCTGTTTCTTATGCGAATACAAATTTACTTGTTAAGTTTAATCTGCTAGGGTTATGAAAGGGTCTGGCTGAGTAGATCGCATCTCAGTTTGACCTTTCCAGCCTCTAAAGAAGGCGAAACCGCCGAAACGTCAGCTATTGTATCCTAATAAATTCTATAATAACAACCTCGTATTTGATACATATTTTTGATAAGTGCTTTTTTCATGTGTGAAGGATGAGAGGAGAGGCAGTGAACTAGAATGTTTTTACTACTTGGCTTGCGATACCATTTTTGTTTTCTAGCTCATATCAAATAAAGTAGGTCACGCCATTAAAAAGTGTTTAAGAAAAAGTGGTCGTGAAAAAACCTCGTGTCTGCTTAATGAAGAAAAACATCGAACTTTCAAATTTGTTTTGCAAACAGTTCTCGTTTTGGATCTAACCAGGTTGTCGTGGTGCACCTTAGGCTTATTGGAAACATAAACTCCATCCTGTAATGGTTATCGATTCGCTGAACGAGATCACATACACACGATATCAAGCAAAAAAACACACATGTAAAGAAATACGTAGCGTTCTGATTGTAAATTGATTGCGTGTGGATAACGCCGGAAGGTCGTAACGAGACTGTTATGTAGCTTGTACCAGCTGAACATTCTCCGATTCATTGTGCTGTTAAGTCATGCGTACATTTAGCGAACGATCCCTCCGACACCTAAAGAACTTTGTAGGAAGTGCACGTAATTTTGTTCACGGGTACTCACCGATGATCACTCTAAGAACAAAGTCACACAAAAATCTCCATTGTGTGGTAAAAAAGGGCATGTGTGGCTCAGTGGTCGGAGGTGCCATGCAACACACACATGGGATCGAACCCATGGGCCCACCAAGCCTTCCATCCCCCGGGGTCGGCAAGTTGGTACCATACTTGCCTAAAAGGATAGCAGCACTGCCTCGATACATCGGTAGCACACGACGAGTTATAAAGACCAGATATGCATTCAATCACCTCTAATGATGTTTGGTCGAAGCTCTCGGCGGTGATCAATCCCTGAGGGATGCGCCATGGATTCGACTTCACCAAGCATCGTTAAAGGTGATTGAATGCATATCTGGTCCTTATAATGGCTCATGGTATCCTACCGATGTATCAAGGCAGTGCCACTAGCTTCCCAAACAAGTCTGCCACCAATTTACCGACTCCGGGAAATGGAAGGCTTGGTTGGTCATGGGCATGGGGATTGATCCCATATGTGTGTTGCAGGGCGCCTCCGGCCACTACATCACACGCCCCCATGCTATTAAATACACATTGCTCAGCATGTTTTAATTAACACTCATCTTGAAGATAACAGGTGGTGCATCGTCGTTACAGACAAAAACAATTCGATCGTAAAGATGAAGTTCAACCAAAGCAGCGTGATCGATTAAGGGTACACGAAGTCTGAACAAAG